TGGGTGGGGGGGGCAAGGACACATATGTAATACCCTTTGTAATACTTATTATAATATTTTTTTAAAAGAATAATAAAAATAAATAAATAAATATTCAGATAAAAAAAATAAATAAAATAAAAATGCTAGTTTCTAGGCACTCTGATTGCTACCAGCTAATGTAAACTGTACAAACTGATTATCTATATGCTAATATTTAAAGCTGAAGTAACTTTGATTTTGTTCCTAAGTGTAATTCTTTACATTTAAAAAAAATTGTTGGCTATCCAGTATACCTGTCCTTGATCAGTGGTGTCTTTACATAAACTAGTTTGCCAGCTAATAATCTCTGAACTATTCACCCAGTGACAGACACTAAAAGGGGTAAGAAGCTAAAGACAGACAAGGTCAGGCAAATAACTGGAAACAACTTCAGTTATGAGAAATCTTAAATATATTAAGTGAGGTTATCCTTCCTCAGACTGTTTGATGGATTTGCAGTACATAGAATATACTTCATATAACATCAGATTAAAACCAAATCCACTTAGGTTTGGTACTACTAAACCTAATAAAAATAAATTATTAATGATTTTATACAAACTGTGTCAAAGTGGACAGATTCTTTATGAAATCTGAACAACATACCATATGCCATAGACCATTATTAATAACTTGGCCTCCAGTTGTGATTTGGGTTGTATGTTCATTCTTAAACTGAATTTCAAGCTTTCCGTCACGAAGTGCAATCAGGAGCCAAGCTGAGTGGTCAAGAGCTTCTGTAAACAGGATAACACCTTCGGAATCATATGTCCGGAAATCAAATGTGGCTGAAAATCTAAATAACAGACAAAGAGAGAGCCTTAATAGTGAGGACATGGAAGGCTCAATGTATTATTCTTTTTTTTCTTGTACTGGCAAAAAGCAGTATGTTGAGTCAACTATTTCCGTCCCTGGAATTAATAAAAGAAAAGGGCAGAATTAGATTGTTGCTGTATTATCTCTGGCTCCATGTGTGTTTAAAATCAAGTTATTAAATTTTCTTGCTTATTATTGGAGTCTTTTTTTTTCCCCAGAGAACAGATACTTTGGTAATTTTTCATCTTTTTTTTGGCATTTGTTTTGGAGGCACTCTTTCAAATGTTGGAATTAAGGCACATGTACAAATATTAGACATATTGAATCTCTTCTGGAACCTTTTATACACTATATAATCTGATTAAGATTCTTTTATTGCTGTATCTGTAAGTGGTTAGTGAAAGATATTACAATTTCATGATTGGTTTATCCATAAAAAGCATATTCTCCCTATGATTTCATATATGTCAGGAAGGAATCACTCAGCATCTGAATGATTGCAAACACAGTTAAGCTTTCATGTGTGGTAGAAAAGGTAAAGTCAAAAGCTTTAAAATTTATCTATTAGCTTGATTTCAAAGGGTCTCCCAAACTCTAATAGCATAAATCACTATACTAGATTACATGGTAAAAAAGTTTAAAAGATATAGTCTAATATTAGCAAACCAAATACAACAATACATTGAAAGGATCATATAGCATGATCAGGTAGAATTTATTCCAGGGATATAAGGATGATCCAACATCCACAAATCAATCAATGTGATACACCACATTAACAAAATGAAGAATAAAAATCATATATTATCCCCATAGAAACAGAAAAAATATTTGATAATATTCAACATCCATTTATGGTAAAAACTCTCAACAATGTGGGTATAGAGAAAAACATAGCTCAACATAATAAAGGCCATATGACATACCAACAGCTAACAACAATACTCAACTGGGAAAATGAAAGCAGAAACAAGACAAGGATGCCCACTCTTGCCACTTTTATTAGACTAGAGAAAGAAATAAAAGGCATCCAAGTCAAAAAGGAAGAAGTAAAACTCACTATTTGGAAATGGCATATATAGAAAACCCCAAAGATTCCACCAAAAAACTGTTAGAACTAATAAAATGTTCAACAAAGCTGCAGGAAACAAAATTAATGTACAGAAATCTGTAGTGTTTCTATATGCTAATAACAAACTATCAGAAAGAGAAATTAAGAAAACAATCCCATTTACAATGTTATCAAAAAGAATAAAATACGTGTACCTAGGAATTAATTTACCTAAGGAGGTGAAATACCTATACACTGAAAAGTATAAGGCGCTGATAAAAGAAACTGAAGAAGACACAAATAAATGGAAAAACATTTTGTGCTGATTGACTGGAAGAATTATTATTGTTAAAATATCCATACTACTCAAAGCAATCTACTGATTCAGTGCAATCCCTATTAAAATTCCAATGGCTCCGCCCTCCAGCGACAGGGCCCTCTCTCCCAAGGCAGAAGGGTCTGGCCCTCCACAATCCTCCTCCTCCTGACCACTCAACTGTTCTCATCTCTCACTGGGGCTGGTTTTGTTTTCTTCCCTCTTTCTCCACCCACCTCTGTCTCTAGGTGTCTCCCTGTGTCTGTCTCTGTCTAAACCCCCTCCAGTGTGCTCTCTCTCTCTCTCAATCTCTGTTCTCTCTCTCTCTCAAGCTCTCTCTCTCTCTCTCTCTCTCTCAATTGTCTCTCTGTCTCTCTCTCTCTCTCTCTCTCTCTCTGGTTCTTCTCCTTTCTCCCCTCTCAGTTTCTCTCTCCCTTCTCTGTTTTTCTGTCCTTTGGTCATTCTCCCTCTCCCCCTGGCTCCCTCCACTTCCTCCCACTGGAACTCTCTTGTCTCTCCCATCCCTCAGAACCTCCTCTTCTCCATCTCTGTCGGTCCTCTTTCTCTCCCTCTCTACCTTCCTGGTCCACAGCCCACCCTCTCCCATTCCACAGAATCTCTCCCCTTTTAGCCCCTTTTGAAGGGTACTGTCCAGTTCCATACCTGGGTACCCCCATGGCCATCTGGGTAGGGAGAACCACCTATTCAGTCCCCATGAGCTGTCTCCTCAAATCCCAGCCACAAAAAAATTCCAATGGCATTTTCACTAAAGTAGAATAAATAATTTTAAAATTTGTATGGAACCACAGAACTTCCTCAATAGCTAAAGCAAGCTAGAGAAAGAAAAGAGCTAGAGGTGTCACACTTCCTGATTTCAAACTATACAGCAAAGCTATAGTAATCAGAATGGTATGATATTGGCATAAATATAGAAAGATCAATGGAACAGAATTGAGAGTCCAGAAATAATCCCACACATTTATGGATAACTAATTCATGAAAAATAACTCAAAAACATACAATGGAGAAAGGACAGACTTTTCAATAAGCGGTGCTGGGAAAATTGGATAGCCCCCTGCAAAACAATGAAACTAGACCACTATCTCACACCATACACAAAAATTAAATCAAAATGGATTAAAGACCTAAAGCCATAAAATACACAGAAGAAATATAGCAGGTAAGCTTCTTGACATGTGTCTTAGCAATGTTTTTGTGAATCGACTCCAAAGGAAAGGAAAACAGAAGTTCAAATAAACAAATGGGACCAGATCAAACTAAAAAACTTCTACAAAGCAAAGGAAACCATCATCAAAATGAAAATGCAACCTATTGAACTGGAGAAGATATTTGCAAACTATACATCCAAGTAGGGATTAATATGTAGAATATGCAAAGAATTCATAAAACTCAACAACCACAAAAATCAACCGACTTTAAAAAATGGGCAGAAAATCTGACTATGTATTTCCCAAAGACATACTGATAGCCAACAGGCACATAAAAATATGTTCAGCTTCACTAATTATTAGAAAAATGCAAATCAAAACCACAATGAGATATCACCTCATACCTGTTAGAATGCCTATTATCAAAAAGACAAGAAACAACAAATGTTGGAGAAGATGTGGAGAAAAGAGAACCCTCATAGACTGTTGGTAGGAATGTAAATTAGCACACCACTATGGAAAACAGTATAAAGATTCCTCAAAAATTTAAGAAGAGAGTCACCATATGATCCAGCAATTTCACTGCTGTGTATTTATTCAAAGAATACAAAACATTAATTTGAAAAGATAAATGCACCCCTATGTTCACTGAAGCATTATTTACAATAGCTAAGATATAAAAAACAAAACAACCTAAGTGTCTGATGGATGAATGGATAAAGAAAATGTGGTACACACACACAACGGACCACTACCCAGCCATAAAAAGAATTAAATCTTGCCATTTGAGACAAAACAAATGGAGTGAAGTAAGTTAGATGGAGAAAGACTAATACTGCAAAATTTCACTCATATGTGGAATCTAAAACAAACAAACAAACAACAACAAAAATGAGCAAAAACAAACTCAAACATGTAAGTAAGGACAGGTTGGTGGTACCAGAGGAGAATTGGGTGGGGAGTGAGTGAGAAGTCTGCAGGGGTCAATTTTATGGTGAAAGACAATAACTAGATTTTTTGTGGTGATCACTTTGTAATATATACAAATATCAAATTACTAGAGGCCCGATGCACGAAATTTGTGTAAGAGTAGGCTTTCCTTCCCCTGGCTGCCGGCACCAGCTTCCCTCTGGCACCTAGGACCCAGGCTTCCCTCGCAGCCTTGGCTTCGTCCAGAAGGTCGTCTGGAAGGATGTCCAGTCTAATTAGCATAATATGCTTTTATTATTATAGACTAGAGGCCTGTTGCACGAAAAGATTCGTGCAATAGGCCTTCCCTTCCCCTGGCTTCCGGCACCAGTTTTCCTCGGGCACTGGATACCCAGGCCTTCGCTCCGGCCGGAGCCGCCTTCAGTCTTCGCTGCCCCGGCCGGAGCCGCCTTCAAGCCTTCGCTGCCCCAGCCGGAGCCGCCTTCAATCTTCACTCCGCCACTTCGTGCCTATGTATGCAAATTAACCGCCATCTTTGTTGGTGGTTAATTTGCATATCTCGCTGGATAGCCGATGGGAGGCGTAGCGAAGGTACGGTCAATTACCATGTTTGTCTATTATTAGATAGGATGTTTCTAGCTCTCTCCCTTCCTCTCTGAAATCAATAAAAATACATTAAAAAAAAAGATGCTGTGTATTCCCAGCAATGTGTTACGTAGGTAAGGAGAAAGACAGTCCTTTTTCTTAAATTATAGTTTAACAAGTGGAGGGGGAAGAGATGGAGATAGATAGATAGATAGGTAGATAGGAATCCCACAATAGCAGTACCGGGTGCTTACTATTGTGGTGGTGGTAGGACAAGACATTAAGGGACCCTGGTGGGGCAGTGTGTTGGTGGAGACTTACAAGAAAAAAATGATGTTTATGCTGAGCAGTAGTTGCCGGGGAAGGGCCCTTGGAACTGGCTGTGACACAGGATCAGGAAAGAGCGAGCAGTAGTGGGACTGGAGACGGGATTTTGCCGGGGGAGCCAGATCTTGGAGGGTTTGCAGACATGCCTAGGAGTTTCAACTTTGTCAGTAGGACTGTAGGAAGCCTTTGAGGGATCTTAGACTTGGCAAAGGTGTCGAAGGTGGATTGGTGGAAGGCGGCTGCAGGGCAGGAGGCTCTGTTGCTCTCGAGGAGTGAGGCGGTGGGGTCCAAAGTAAGGCGCTGGCAGTGGGTATGGAGGAGGGCAGACATAAGAAATATCCAGGATCTAAGTTAACCCACCTTGAATGATCAGTTTGTTATGAAGTGGGTGAGGGTGGGGAAGGAATAAAGAAGAATCGAGTCCTTGGTTTCTAGCTTGGAGAAGAATGGGTGGGCGGGAGGAACCAGGAAATCCAGACAAGGAACAGATTTTGGAGATGCAGGTGGGTTCCTTTACAAGGAACAGGATGCAGGTGGGTTCCTTTAAACCTTTCAAAGGTGAGCCAACTTGGAGATTCCCCTCCCCTGGCCTTTCTGCCTTT